AATGATCAGTCTCTAGTAAAGGGTCTCTAATAGCGTTTTCGGCCCGACCGGGTTTGCACCAACCTGGGTTGGATTAATGGCGTTTTGCGCTCTTCTATTGGTAGAGCGTGCGATATCAACCAATAGGAAAGATTAATCCAACCCAGGTTGGTGCAAACCCGATCGGGCCGAAAACGCTATAACTCTTGCATAACGCGTAACACATGAGGCATAAAAAATTGAACCAACCAGAGTTCTCTATTATGCGGGGTCTACAATAGAAATCGTAGCAGTCGTAGAGTCTTAAGTCGTAGAAAATTGACCAATCATAGTCGATTATTCTTCTCATATTCTACTGTGATTGGTTAATTTTCTACGACTTAAGACTTTACGACTGCTACGACTTCTATTGTAGACCCCGCTTTACATGGAAGGGAAAGAAACGGAGAATTTCGATTGGTACATATTCTTATGCATTACGTGTTATGCAAGAGTCTGTGCTCCCCGCTTAAAGGCCGCAGCACAGACTTTTGCATAACGCATAATGCATAGCGCATAAGCGAATCAACTAATCAGAATCTTCCCTTTCCTTCCATTCCATGGAAAAGAAGAATTTCGATTGGTTGATTCCCTTATGCACTATGCATTATGCGTTATGCAAGAGTCTGTGCTGCGGCTGTAAGGCCCTTATGGAAAAATACCATTAAGAATTAATAGTTACTATTGGTATTCCAGTAGCTACTACTGAGACTCCAGGGTACCTATCATAGAACAAGTCGGAATCGATTCCGATCGGAAATATTCAATTATTCCCTAGATTTCTATTGTGTTTTCTAGGGAAAACGGAATAATTCCGATCGGAACCCATTCCGACATATTACATGATAGGTACCCTGTAGTTATTACTGAGACTCCAGTAGTTACTATTGAGGCTCCAATAGTTATTATTATGACTCCAATAGTTTGAACTTCAGAGAACCTGAAAATAATTATTATAATAACGCCAGATTCTAGGAAAAATTGATACATAAATAAAGTAAAGTAAATAAAAATTATTATTTGCATCATTATAAAGTCACTGTCAGTTATGTTTTAATTATTTATTTATGAAATTAATTCCAAACTGGATCAAACACAAATAGTATTGCACCATAAAACGTTAATTAGATTATATTTTTCATTATATAACATTTGTTATCATGAGATACACAACGCATGATGGAATGAAGGAAACACGCGCGCTCGCGGTACCAAGATAAATGTTATAACGAAAAATATATTCTAATTAACGTTTTATGATGCAATATTATTCGTATTTGATCCAATTTGGAATTAATTTCATAAATAAATTATTAAAACATAACTAATAGTGATTTTTTTATAACGATGCGAATAAGGATTTTATTCACCTTTATATCAATGTACTAATTTTTCTTTAAGTCTGGCGTTATTATAATGATTATTTTTTATTTTTACGGAGAAAAATATATAAGAAAACATAGAAATAAAATAATCCCCGAGTGGTCGCGCGAAACCTTCAAAAATTTGGACAATATATACTCTACTCCTTTTTATTGATCAGTAGTAACTATTGACAAACAATAATTATTGACCAACAGTTATTATTGACCAACGGTAATTATTTACCAACGGTAACTATTGATCAACAGTACCTACTGACCAACAGTAACTATTGGCCAACAGTAACTATTGGCCAACAGTAACTATTGATCAACAGTAACTATTGGCCAACAGTACTAACTATTAGCCAAATTACTATTGGCCATTTTACCATTTATTAATAGGTATTAAGGGGAGAACAGAGAATAGGTTGAAATTCTTATTCTCTGTTCTCTGTTCCCTATTCCTTTTATTGTGCGGAACCCCTTAGGGTGCCATCACATGCGGCGTAACTTGCGTAAGCGTAACTTGCGCCGACCAATCATATCATTTCACTTGAACATCAGTTTCTGTCTAGTCATTTTATGCTTTTTACGCTACTTTGTTGTTACGCCGAAACATGATAGAACCACTATGCGTCGAATCTAATTTCTGGCTCATTTTAGCTTATTCTGTCTGAAAAAATGCATAAGGGTTTCGATTTTGCAACAGTACAATTATAAAATTCGTGCGCCCCTTTGTATCGCGCGAAAAGTCGAAACCCATGTGGAACAGTACAATTATAGACCTCATTTTGCCTCTGTGACAGATTTCCTAACCTCAATAGTCATCAACTTTAACGCTTAATATCTCAGATCACGAGGCAGAACGTTTTTTTTTGTCAGATTCTTTTGTTTCATGCAAAAACGCGTCGAATAAGCCTAATGGTGCAGTTCCATGAAGCGTATTTGCCGCGTATCGCGTAACCGCGTACCCAATCAGAAGCAATCCGCCTTTTCCGCTTCGCATAAAGATCTACTGTTCCATGGTAGTGATGGGAAATTCTTTTCCGATTCTTGAAAATTCGATTCTTTTAGACTCAAAATATTCGATTATTATCTGATTCTTCGGAATCTCGATTCTTACTGAATCGATTCCTTTTTTTAGAGAATCGATTCCTTTTTGGCTAATCGCAGTCGAATATGAGAATAATTTATTGTGATTGGTTGATCAGGGCCATTCTCCCGCTAAGAAGAAGATCACGTGATTAATTTGATGCTCGAATCGAGTGTCGAGCGTCAACTGTGAGTGTCCTTTAAAAACTTGGCAGCGTTTGAGAGCACTGCATCCACACTTGTACGAAATATGTAGCTTTAAAATATTTAGTCATTGTTGGTATCTGATTGGTTACGCGGTTACGCGATACGCGGTAAATACACCTCATGGGACTCCAGCCTGAGTGTCCTTTAAAAACTTGGCAGCGTTTGAGAGCACTGCATCCACACTTGTACGAAATATATAGCTTTAAAATATTTAGTCATTGTTGGTACCTCCGTGCCATGTGAAAGACTGTTCAGTAAAGCCGGCAATATCATTACTGAGAAACGCAATCGGTTAAAAGGAAAACGGGTTTCCAAAATTATATTTTTAAGTTCGTTAAATAAGGAATATTGGTGATCGCAGCAAAAAAGATTGGCTAGTGCAATGAAAAATTGATTATTTTATTTTGAGTAATAATTAAGTAAAAATATATGTAAATATAAAAATATATATACATATATACTACAAATATAATATGTAATTTTGAATTATTTTAAACATTTCCTGATTTTTCTAGTTTCCTTTATTTTCCAAAATTTTCCTCGTTTTTCCAAAAAGCGACAATTATATATTAATATGTAAAAAAGAGTAAAAAATTCTTATACGATTCTTTAGAATCGATTCTTTTCCAAGTCGATGAATC